CTAGAGGCCGGGCTCGGTGGCTCAGCCTCTCATCCCAGCACTTTGGGAGGCCGAGGTGAGTGAAATGCTTGAGCCCGTGGGTTCGAGACCCGCTTGGGCAGCGAGACTTCATCTTTACAATAAATCAAAAAATCAGCCGGGCGTGGTAGCGCATGCCTGTAATTCCGGTTACTCGGAAGGCTGAGGCGGAAGGATCGCTGGAGCCCGGCAGGTCGAGGCTGCGGTGGCCGGGAGTGGCCACTGCACTCCAGTCTGGGCGACAGAGTGAGACTCCAACTCAAAAAAAAAAAAAGATTCTTGCTGGAGAAACTTGAGCAAGGGGATGTGTGCAGATGGCCCATCACCTGCTTCAAAGGAAGTGTTGACTGGAAGTGGTGACAACCAGAGGGCCCCTGGAAGGCACCGTGTAGGGGGCAGGAGGCACCCCAGGGGCCCAGCACCTGGTGGCTCTGGGGAGCACGGCCTGCCTCTCCGCCCGAGACTGCTGTACTCTGGGGAGTCTTTGTCACAACAGTCTAGCAAACCTCCTGCCCTATGGCGTCTAGGGCAGTGGACAACTGAGTGTGGCCCATGGGGCAGCGGAAGGCTTGGAAATACAGCTTCTCAGGCCCTACCCCGGCTCTACTGAATCAGTCTGTGGGGACGGGGCCCGGGAATCTGTGTGGTGAAGCGCTCTTCTGATGATTTTGACACACGCTGAGAGTTTAAGAATCCATGTCTGGGCTGGGCTCGGTGGCTCAGCCTGTCATCCCAGCACTTTGGGAGGCCGAGGCGGGCGGAATGCCTGAGCCCGCGGGTTCGAGACCAGCCCGGGCAAGTTGGTGAGGCCTCGTCTTCACAATGCATAAAAAAAATTAGCCGGGCGTGGTAGTGTGCACCTGCAGTTCTGGCTACTTGGGAGGCTGAGGTGGGAGGATCGCCTGAGCCCAGCAGGTAAACACTGGGGTGGCCGTGAGTGTGCCATGGCACTCCAACCTGGGCAATGGAGTGAGATTCCAACTCAAAAAAATAAAATAAAAAAGTGACTTAAACTCCTAGTTTCTGGTGGTTTCCACTCATATAGAAAACACAGGATCAGCAGGGCTTGGTGGCTCAGCCTGTAATCCTGCGCCTTTGGGAGGCTGAGGTGAGTGGGTTGCCTGAGCCCGCGGGTTCGAGACCCGCCTGGGCAGCAAGACCTCATCTCTACAATAAATCAAAAAATCAGCAGGGTGTGGTAGTGCATGCCTGTAATTCCGGCTACTTGGAAGACTGAGGCGGAAGGATCGCCGGAGCCCAGCAGGTCGAGGCTGCGGTGGCCGGGAGCAGCCACTGCACTCCAGTCTGGGCGACAAAGTGAGACTCCAACTCAAAAAGAAAAAAAAAAAAAAGAAAACACAGGATCTGCCTGAGGTCAGTCCCGGGGTGACTTAAGGCAGTAGGTTTCCTCTGGGATCCCTTATGAGTAGATAGTCTATGAGTCTGTCCAGCACTATCACAGTGCCAGGAACTCCAGGCTGGGCACAGCAACGACCGTGCCACAGATGCCGGAACGTGCTGGGCGGTCGGCA